CCTTTGAACAAGTGACATTACAATTTTCTGTTGGTGGTGTGTATTGTCAGTGTCTGGAGTCTCATAGTTCCTACACAAAGTGCTAAATAAACTCTGCACCGCTGTATTTCTGTTGTCACGTTTAAATAAAGCCTCCTGTGAACAGCAACTTTTCTCTCCTCACTTCTTATTCCATATTTTGGATTATTGTGCAGCAAAGTAGCTTTTGTACAAAAGCAGATTTGGGGCAAGATGTGACACTGAGGGGGGAGCCTGGTGTGGGGCAGGAGCTGGTGTTGGGCTGCAGGTGACACTGAGAGCTCCAGGAGGAGGAACACCAGCGATGCCATCACTCCTGGAGCAGGCACTGCATCTCTTGGGAAACAGCTCTGCCTCCCTGGCCTCTCCAGCAATATTGACTTGAACCTGGGATTTTCTTCAACATTTTCCTGCATTCCCTGAGGAGATACACGGCCCTGGAGCAGGGGGAAGATAAGAAAATGTACAAATGCTCTTGTGGACTAATGTCTGGACCCTACTGCTGGAATTGACTGCCACCAGAAACCTCCAGCTTGGCAATAGACACCTGGATTTGTGTTTGTGGGAAGAAAAAAGACCTGTTCAGTCTCCCACAGTGTCTGCACTTCTCTGCTTGCTTCTGTCACACTGCTTTGGTGCTACAGGTGGGACATTGTTACAGAAATACTTTCTCTGAAACCATCAAAATGTTGAGTATTTATGGATATTCTGATGAAGTGGTTCAGTATGATGGCAAATACATTCTCTCCAAATGTTGTGATTGATACCTGTGTGCTCTGTTCACCATGCCCACGGTGGAGTCAGGCTGTGATTGTTGTCAGCTGTGATTTCAAGAGGATGATGGTGTTACACTTTGGTTTTAGAGGATTGTCAGTTATGGGTGACTCCAGGCCAAGTTTAAGTATCCCTTAGACACTTGTGAAGGCACTGATATGACCCAGAACGATGATGTTACTGTATCAACTGATGCCTTTTAGCACTGTTAGCCTGAACTTTGTGGTTGGAAAGAACCTTGCTACCAGAAACACAGGTATCTACCTGAGCACTTTTACTGCAAGGTTTTTTTGGAAATGTGCATTGAGTTTTTCATGTTACACAGAAAATGCTGCTCCTTCTCCTATTCCAGGACACTCAGGTCCGGTTTGTCGTTTATCATGGTCTAGTCATGCATGCAAAGATCTGTGAAATATTAAAAAAAGAAAATCATTGCTTTATCTGAGTGTCTGCAATAGAAAGTTTCTGTAACATTTGTTTTTCAGGCTGCAGTGAGAGAATGCAGGCTGTGCTGTGTATCCAGGCAGTCCCTGGGAGGACAGGGAGGATTTCTGGGGGTGCTCACATTGTGTTTGGGGTCTGGGCTGGTGTGTAAGGGAAGGAAGAGAATCAGAGCATCCCATGGAGTGTGCTGGTCCCATAGAAAACACATCCCAGCACCTGGAAATGGTGGTAGAGCTTGAATGGATGCTGAGCTTGCTGCTGCTTTCAGATTTCCTGGGAAGGCAGAGGTGGAAGTGGAGGTGTGAGAGAACAATTGCACCTCAGCCTTGCCCAAAATCCCTTTAAACTGCTGTGTAGCACCCTGAAATTAGTCACTGACTTGGTCTTGGCTTATAAATGCTGAAATAAGATTAAGATGGCAGTTAAGAAAATAAAATTAAGCTTCTTGATCTTTTCCTGAGAGTTCAGAAACCCCTGCTTTTGTCTGAGTCTGGAGTAAAAACATGCAGTGCTTAACTTGGAAAAGATCTTAGCAATAGTAAACTCCAGAGCATGGCTCGATGACTTAAGGATCCTTGCATGGAATAAATAAGATTTGTTTTCCGTGGCTGTCATTAGGATTGGCTGGAAAGGATTATCGTGGATGACTCAAAGCAGATGTTCTCCAGTAAACTTTGGAGCGAATTAGTCTGTGCCAGTCAGCCCTCTCAACAGGGGAGCAGCACGGGAGGATTTGGAAATGACTTATCAATTATTTTGAGCTGTTTGCTGCAAGCTCCTAAATGGGGGTCCTGGAAGTTGTTTTAGGGGGTATTGAGGGGCTGCAGTGTGAGCACATAGAAACTGAAATGCAAATTGCTGAGGCAGTTACAGCCCTGCTCAGTGTCCAGAGGGAACAGGGCTGCTGAACTCCCTGTCCTGCTCTGCTCTGTGGCACTTCACCTGTCTGTTCTGCTCCCAGTGAGCATCTTCAGCAGCTTTTGTGTTAGTAAATTATCATTCCTGGAGCTGCTCAAAGCAGGGTGGTGTCCTGGCAGGTTCTGTAACATGAATGTCACTCTGGTTATGTGACAATGTATGAATTTTATTGTAACAGTTGGTTTAAGGTGAAGATACTGGTGTGCAGGATGGGCGTGCTGCTGTTATCCCTGTGGGTGTCTTCTCATGGAATACGTGATACTTGGGAGGTTTTCTTGTTTCCATCACTGTTTAACTGCACTACAAGAAATTTCATAGTCTGTGTTATTTTAAAATAGGCAAATATGATTTTTACTGTAAGATTCTCTTTATTGCACTTTGGATGAAACATTCTGAGAAAACTACACAAGGGGAAGGAGGCAGAAGTTGTTGAATGTGTTTGAACATTTTATGTATTTATTTTCAAAGAATCAAACTTCCCTACAGGTCAAAAAAAAAAAGGGAAAATGAGAGGAGCTGCTGGCAGTTGTCTGGAGTGTGAGATGTTCGTGCTCTGCTCAGCAGTTGCTCTGTGACAGCACGTTCTCAATTGGATACAAATGTGTGAGGAATCCAAAATGGGTGGTTTGTGTTCCAGCAGGAGCTGAGGGTGCAAGGCCACTTTCACTGTCCTTAATTGGCACCACGTGTCCCCCAGGGCAGGGAGGGGAGTCACAGCCTGGTGTAGACCTGGGGGGTGCTTCAGCATTTGGGGCATGCACTGCTGTGTGTTTGGGGCTATTGAACAAAGGCAAAGCTGGGACTGGAAATTCCCTGACCAGTTTCACCTTTCTGTAGGTGTGTGTGCACATGAACATATCACTTTCCCCATCTTGACTTTCTGATAGGCCAATGACCCTTTTTTTGGCATCAGTTCTTCATTTAGATAATGAATATTTGGGGATTACCAGTAACTGCAAAAATAATTGTACCAGTTAATGGTGTGTGCAACAGAGCCTTTTTCACCCTGGTAATTCATCATCTAAAATATGTGTTGGGAAGGAGAGTATCGTGTTTTGCAAGTTTAAAAATATTTGTCTGGAAACTCCCAGAATCGAGCTTTAATTCTTCTAAGGGTCTGGGTCTGAAAACTGAAAAAATCAACCCTGGTGTTGTTTAAAACCAACAGCAGTTTTGTTTAAACTGTGGTGCTAAACTTTCCTTCCTGGGCACAGAGGGCAGGGCAAGGGTTGAAACATGGATGCAAGTCAGTGCACTGAAGTGAAATAATAAGAACTAAAATATGTCAGAATAGGTGCTCTTGCTGCTCTAAAGGTTAAGCAGAGTTTTACCAGGCCTGACCTCATGGTAGGGCTTTAAATATATGCAGAGTGAAGAAATAATCGGGACAAATTAATTCATCTTTGGCCTGGAGCTGGTTTTACACCCTATAGGAGTTAGAATCATTCAAAGCCTGCATGGACTGTAAACATAAGTTTGATAAAAGTGAATAAAAAAATCAGGGCAAGTGTTTTATCACTGCCAGCGTTACCCAGGTATCTCCAGCACTAAACAGTCCTGCAGGGATGGACAAAACATGGTCTGAGCCCAAGGTTTCCTGAAGGAAAGAGACTTCAGCTCCTGCTGCTCCTGTGGTATCTTAGTGGAGAGGTAGAAGCGACTTGGTAAAGCCAATTCTTACACAAGTCAGTGTTTTTAAGAGGAGGGGTCATGCAGGGGAGCGTGGCTGGGAGGGCAGAGATGTGATGGTGATGATGATGGCCTGGTGGGCAGAGATGTGATGGTGAGGGCTTGGTGATGATGATGATGATGCTTCTGATGAGGTTTCAGGATGCTGTGGGATTCCTGCAGAAGTTCTTGTTGAGAGATTTTTCTCACATGCACTTCACATCCAGTTGAGTCACAAATGCAATTAAGCAATAAATGAGACTGTGATTCAAGTTTTCCTTTGCTTATCTTTTAAATCTATCTCCAAAGGTGAATTAGATTCCAGGTTTCAGTGCTTTTAACATCAGGTAATGGAAACAGGGATCTCTGTGTGGGATCATAAACTCATTTGGGTTGGAAAAGCTCTCCAAGATTAATGAGTCCAACCCAGCTTGGTTTACCCCTAAACCAAGCTCCTAAAACGTGTAGTGTGTGGTTTCTCCTGGAAAGCATTAAAATCACATGTGTGCTGAGGATGTGCAGGATGTCCTGCTGTGCTGGGGGTGCAGTGCAGCCCATCAGAAAACCTGACCCTCACTTTTTGAACGGATGGGGATCTGTGCAGTTCCTCCTCTCCAAGTACAGCCCCAGCAAGGGGTGGTGGAGTGGCCAGAGGAGCTGAGGCTGGGGCTGATGGTCTGGGGACACCTGCTGGGCACAGCCCCGGCCCCAGGAGGGACCTGCAGGCTCCTGTGTGCAGTGCAGGAAGTGATACTGGCAATGAAGGCGCAGAGCAGCGACTTGGGGAACTCTGCAGTGGGGCCTGAAGGATTAAACTCCACATTTCCGACTGCACCAGCTGCTGCTCCTGCTCCACTTGGCACTTGTTTCCCCTCAGGCTGTGCACAATTGCAGAGGGGTCTCAAAACTTTGTTTCTCAGTCACAGCGGTTTTATTGCCACTGTTTCCTTGGGTTTTACATAAGAGTGTGTTTGTTACAGCTCCTGCACTTTCCAACTAGGTCAGTAAAAGTGTCCTTGTCCCTATTTTCTTGAACAATCAGCTCCCTAAAGCCAGACAGTCTGATAGCAGTTTGTGATTAATGCTTCCAGCAATTATAAAGTGGAAGGTCTTAAATTACATTTGTTAACTAAGACCAGTACATGAAACATGAAGTGACTTTGTCTTCCTTGTTGCAGATCCATAACATGGTGGCAGTGCTGGAAGTGATCTCCAGCCTGGAGAAATATCCCATTACCAAAGAGGCACTTGAGGTATGTCACCCTCTGAACATGATTTTTTTTTATGTGTATGAAAGGACTTTTTCCTGCCTTTCTAATTTCCATTGGAGCTTTTCTGGAAACAATAGATGGATTGCAAAGGATTCACAATTAAGATATTATTTTGTCTCTCTCGTGCTGCTTCCGACATCTCGGTGAACACAGGGATCCTTTCTGGGCCCAGATCAGTATTCTGGGCAGCACAGTTCCTGTTTGTGCAGGGCACTACATTAATCATCACTTGCCACTGATTAATTCTGTTGCACTCAGCAATGTCACCCTGCAGTTCCGGTCACCTTTGTAGATGTTTGGTGACCAAGCACCTAAAATCTAAAATAGGAATAGAGTTGTTCTGGGTCTGTAAAATGAATCTTAAATTCAGTTAAACAGGTTTCAAGGCCTGATATTTGTGGTGAGGTCAGGTGTAGGGAGAGCTGAATTCTCACTGGCCACTTGTAGAAACAGTCCAGAGAAGTTTTATGGCTGAATTATATATGTCTTTTTCACTCTTTGTATTGAAATTAGCGGTGTTCTTGCTTTTAACTGTTGCTTAATTACAACTCCACCTGTATTTCATCATATCTATCACAAGAGGTTGCATATTTCTCTCACAGTGTGGTCTGTGTTCTCCTTTGAAGTACTTTTCTTAAGAAATCTGACTTGTGGAACAGTTCTTTGTTTTCTAATGTGCTTTGGGAACAATCAAACATTTCCTTCCGCTCATGAAACCACCTTGGGACACCCTGGGAATGTTGTTTAAATGGCTTTTTCATATGTTTCCACAAGGCTGGGGAGTGAAGGGGGAGGAGAGAGGTGGAGGAAAAAGGTAGGACACAACTCACACCTGGTAGTCAGGTTTGTCAAATGGAGATTTTTATTGTTAACGAGTTACTGTGACAGGCAAAGATCCTGGAATTCTTTCCTCGTCTCTCTCTGCAGATCTTATACTTCCCTTGTGATAAAGACACATCTTTGGGTGCTGCATTTCCCCTTGAATCTGAACCTGCACCTTTATTCTTATGGTTCTTTCTCATTAAAGAATTCCTTTCTGATGTTTTTCCCAGCTCTCCTGCTTTTACCAGGGAATAAAGACAGCGTGACTTGAAACCTACAGCCGGTTTCATGTTGCGTGGCGGAGCACTGGACTAATCCTTTCCAAAAAGATTAATTCAACACTTAAATCTTTAGTGTTTTCAAGCAGGTGTTTCTCAGGGGTGAGCATTATTACAAAGCAAAAGCATTCCTTGAGAATTTTGCTTGGAATGATACGTGTTTGTAAAACACCTTGTCTGTCTTTGTAGGAAACCAGACTCGGGAGGCTTATCAATGAGGTGAGGAAGAAGACATCCAATGAGGAACTTGCCAAACGTGCCAAGAAATTGTTGCGGAATTGGCAGAAGTTGATAGAACCCGTAACCCAGAACGAGCCAGTGCCAAGGGGGCTGCCCAACCCACCGGGATCAGCGAATGGAGGTGCTCACAACTGCAAACCAGACTCACAACTTCCTGCTGTGGCTGGCGCCAAGCCCATCAGCGAACTGAAAAGCAGGAATGATATCCAGAAACTAAATTCTCCAAAACCAGAGAAACTGGGAAATAGGAAAAGGAAAGGTGATCACAGGGATGGGCATCAGGGCCCTCCTCCCCCAAAAGTCTCCAAAGCTAGTCATGAAGTATTACAAAACTCTTCACCCCCTCCAACCAATGGAATTGGAGGTAGTCCTGAGAATTTTCCTAGTCCTGTAGACATAAACCTACACGCAGGGCCCGAAAGCAGCAGGACAGACCTCAGTGAAAACGATAAACACAATAAGATCCCAGTAAATGCTGTAAAACCTCACACCAGTTCTCCAGGACTTGTAAAACCTTCAAGCACTTCCTCGTTACTAAAGACTGCAGTGCTTCAGCAGCATGATAAATCAGAAGAAGCCACGGGCCCCCACCAGCCCAAGAGCCCACGCTGCTCCTCCTTTAGCCCCAGGAACGTTAGGCATGATACTTTTGCTCGGCAGCACACCACGTACTCACCAAAGGATTCGATGCCCAGTCCATCTCAAAGGTCTCAGTTCGCAGACACTGCACAGGTGCCATCGCCGCCGCCATCCCTGATGCAACCATCCACACCTCCCATGCCAGCCAAGAGACTGGAGTTCCCTCCTCAGGCGGCCCCCGAGGCGGCTCAGCACTGGCAGGAGCAGCAGGGAGCCCCCGAGGGCCAGCACAGGCACACAGCAGGGACACTTCAGCAGCACACGGCTCCCGGCTGCAAAGCCCACCCCGGGGAATCACACATGGGCTTCCCACAGGACACTTCCAGAATGGACAGTGACGATGCTGCTTCAGGGTCCGATAGCAAAAAGAAGAAAAGGTACCGACCCAGAGACTATACAGTCAACTTGGATGGGCACGTGACAGAAGGGGGTGTGAAACCTGTGAGGTTAAAAGAGAGAAAACTCACTTTTGATCCCATGACAGGACAGATAAAACCTTTAACACCGAAAGATCCTTTGCAGGTAGAAATCCCTGCACTTACCGAACAGCACAGGACAGAAACGGAAAAGCAGGAGCAAAAACCCAACCTGCAAAGCCCCTTTGAACAAACGAACTGGAAAGAGTTGTCCAGAAATGAAATCATTCAGTCATATTTAAACAGACAGAGTAGCTTGCTGTCTTCATCAGGAGTACAGACTCCAGGAGCTCACTACTTCATGTCTGAATATTTAAAGCAGGAGGAAAGCACTAGAAAAGAGGCTAGAAAGACTCACGTTCTAGCTCCTAACAGCAAACCTACAGACTTGCCTGGGGTCACCAGAGAGGTCACGGGTGATGACCTCGACAGAATACGTGACCACAACTGGGCAGGCGTGAACGGTTGTTATGACACACAGGGTAACTGGTATGATTGGACACAGTGCATATCCTTAGATCCACACGGGGATGATGGGAGATTGAACATCCTGCCTTACGTCTGCCTAGACTGAGAGCAGTTCTGCTAACCACGCTTTTTACACCTGCAGTTAGCAGAACTGGCAGACACGATGCCACTTCCAGCTGGAGAGAGCCTCCTGTCCTGGACAAACAGGCCCCACGAGCAGAGGGGGGGAGGGAGCTGGGCCTTTCCAGCTCGTTCCTTTAAATTCTCCTTTTGTGAAATGCTGCTACCAGTTTACTAACAATTGCAAAGGAAGGCATACGAAGGTTGATCAGTTGAGTTCAAAACTCTATAGCAAGCCAGCTATAAAAAGTGTTAGTCCCCAAGAAGTGAAGAGGATTTCCAGCACTTTCTGAATGCCGGAATCTTAATACAGGCAGGTACAGAGAAAAATTGTGGAAGTTACCTTAACAAAATATGCATCTATTTATTTGACTTGATTTGGGTTTTTATTTGGCAGTGAGATATTCGAGAGACAATGTGCAAAAACTGTAGTTTTATTTCTATCACATCTCTGAACATGATTGCGTTATTTAAGAGTCATGTGGTACGGAGATTGGGTTTTAAACAGCAGGTGTTGCACTGCAGGCTGGGCCACCAGCTTCAGCTCAACATTCCATAGGCATCCACATATTTTAGTCTGGTTTCAGTTTAAATCCAGTCTCTGAGAAATGCTGCAAAAACTAGATGTTTAATGATATTTTTTTGATCCCACCACCACCAGCCAAATATTTTTCCTCCTTTTCCCTTCCTGCAAACTTATAGGTAAAAAACAAAAAGACAAAAAAACCAAAAAGACAAAAAAAAACAGACAAAAAAAAAAAAAGAAAAATCACCTTTTCTAGAATCTAAATGTAATGAGGGTGCTACAAGTTTGTAACTGTACTGTGAGAGGGAAAAAGGAAGCCTGTTTGTATGCTGGAAATATACTTGTTACCATTCCTTTAGATATTGTTTGCCTTATGGATATCCATCATAAACGCAATTTGCAAAAACAAAGAGCCTTAGTGAATGTACAGTAACTAGACTTCTGTGTTCCTGGGATGCAGAAGGGAGCAACTTTGCTATTTGGTCCTTTAAGTGGACACGTTGTGATATAAATGTGGAAATAAAAAAAATTTGCACAAACCAGTTTGTGAATTATTTATATACAGTCGTTCCCCCCCCCTCTCCCCCCCACCCAAATTTGCTCAGTTCAGCCCAGCTAAGGGAGCCCTGGCACTGGGGCCCCGTCGGAGCAGGGAGGTGGAGCCGAATCCCTCGGACACCGCCGGTAGGGATAACGGGATTGTCTTCCAAGAACCTTGGTGTGCTGCTCAGTCACACAGGGTGGATCTGTTTTTAACTCTGGAGACTGATAACTCAACTGCTGATAATGTACCTCAAAGTCTAAAGAGATCAGACTTCATCTTTTTGTCTCGGTAACTTTGTAATGTTTTATTCCTAATTGTTACAGTGCTTTATGAAGCAGCCTGGGGTGTAGAAAGTGAAGGATTTCTATGAACTGTAATTGCTTTAATAATTGGGACTATGTTGTTTGATGCAGTCCCCAGTGTTGGGCTGTTCAGGGGGTTGGGGAGGGGACACTATACCAAAAATATTCCTGGGTTTAGTGATGTTAACTCTGTTAACCCATCTGTGCTGGAGATGAGCCTTGGCAAGAGTTGTCCTGCCTTTGAGGGTAGAGTCAAGCTCTTCCCTGGTTTTCAAAGGAGGGTGCTCCTGACCAGGCCTGCATTGTGTTGGTTCATTCCCTGGAATACAACTGATGAAGTTTGGTTTATTTTTAAGTCATTCTTGTTCATCATTTCTGATCTGACTGTTACTGAACTGTGTGGGTATCTCAGAAATAACGATGTCTGTGTGCTTCCATTTCTAAAATCTGAGGTCTGAGAGTGAAACCAGAAGTGGTTACCAAAAAATGCATCCAAGTATATTTTCAGTTTACTTCCATTTTGTCCTTCTGCAGTTGCTGAGGTTGAGCAGTGTGGTTTAGAGCTGGGGAAAGCTCCTGTCTTGCAGTTCAGATTTGATGGCAGAGGGCTAAGCTGCTGATCATTTTGGAAATGCTTAAGTTTTGTTTATGTAAAAACGTACTGTGCATCTTATTTCCCCCTGAGCTTTCCTCCTCCTTCCCTGAATGGTCCCATTTAGGAACAGGGTCTGTGCTCTTTGGAGGCCTTTGAATATTCCCAAATTTCAGGAAATGACAAAGTATTACTTGATAAATTCCATCTTTTTTTCCACTGCTTCCATTTCTGATGCAATTGATGGCCCTTGACTGCACTGGGTGAGGTGATGCCCGAAGCTCATCACAGCTTCCAGATTATACCCAAACTGCCTGTGCTGATGCTCCTCTGTTTGAGGAAGCATCAGGAATCAGACCCAGCTCTTTCCCTGGTGGTACAAAAACTGCTGGAGAAATTCCCTCCCAATGCAAGCTTTAAATCTTGTTCCTTGCTGAGTTTGTTGCTGCTGTAAGGGGTCAATTCACTTGTGTGTCCTCCAGGGTGAGATGAGGCTTGACAATCTTTATTTCAGCATGCCAGTATAACCAGTTCTGTGAGCTCCAACAAATGTGAATAAGTTTACAAGGTGATATTTTTTTGTCAATTTTGTAAACAAGTTCAAATGAAGTTTACCGTGTGCGTACCTGCTGTGTACTCTCATTTGTGCATGACTCAGTTTCTCTGCTACTGCTTTCCCCTACCTCTCGTAAAATTCCTCCTTCTAATCCTAAACCCTTAAATTAAAACTGCCATTTCTTCCTTGTCAACGGATGACACGAAATGGCTCATCAGCAAATCTCTGGGGAGTCGCCATTACCTAAAGTGCGTGTTTTTACGGGCAAATTAATGCTGTAGCAATGTCTTTTGACAGGGTGCATGGATGAACCGGGCTCTACAACCCCTCCTGCCTGCCAGGTACTCACCCATCCTTTACCCCGGCCGGCTTTCGCGTTCCTCGCGTTAGTTTTAAAGGTCGGCAGCGACCTCGGAGCCTCCGAGCCCGCGACCTTCGCCCCGTCCCTGCCCTGCCGCTGCCCCGGGGGCGGCTCTGCTCCCCCGAACGTCCCGGGAGCCCCTGGGGCTCCACGGAGCGGGGCGGGCGCGGGGGGTTCACGGCGGGGCCGGGCCCGGGCCCAGCGGAGGAAGTGACGCTCCGATCCCGCCGGGGCCCGGCCCGGCCCGGCCCAGGAAGCGACGCGGCGGGGCCGCGCTGACGTTCGGCGGCGGCTGCGGAGCGATGGCGGCGCCGCTGGCGGCTCCGGGCGGGGCCGGGCCCGGGGCCGGGGCCGGGACGGGGGCGGCGCGGGGCGGGCGCGGACCGGCGCTGCGGGAGGGGGCGCGGGTGTCGGCGCTGTGCCTCGCCTGGTACGGGCTCAGCGCCGGCGGCAACGTGGTCAACAAGCTGCTGCTCGGCGGCTTCCCGAGGCCCGTCACCGTCTCGCTCTTCCACATCCTGGGGCTGTGCGGGCTCCTGCCGCCGCTGCTCCGCGCCTGGCGCGTCCCGCCCGCCGGCCCCGCGCAGCTGCCGCCCCGCGCCTACCCCCGCTACATCCTCCCGCTGGCCTTCGGCAAGTACTTCGCCTCCGTGTCCGCGCACGTCTCGCTCTGGAGGGTTCCCGTGTCCTACGCGCACACAGGTGAGGGCCGAGGGGTGCCCGAGGGGGGTGTCCTGGGGGCCAGCTCGGATTCGTGCCCAGTGGAGGTGAACCGAAACCTGGTGTGTGTTCGTATGGGCACCTGGTGCCGTGTCCCAGCACCCGCCGTGTGCTCCTACAGGTGCCCAGAGCGGTGTCCCCGTCCCCGATGTGTGCTGGCACCAGCAGCACGGTGTCCCAGAGCACCGAGGTTCAGTCTGTACAAATGTCCAGGACAGTGACAGGGCGGGAGGACCCATCCTGGGCTGTGCTGGGTCTGGCTGAGCCCCTGCTCCATTCCTTTATTCATGGTGGATGGTGGAGTTGTCCCAAGCCTCAGGTCCCCACCGATGTTTTCTTCCCGTCCCCAGTGAAAGCCACGATGCCGATCTGGGTGGTTCTGCTGTCACGGATCATCATGAAGGAAAAGCAGACGACGAAGGTGCGGACAGGTTTGCTGAGGTTTCTTTTCTTAGCAGTGCTTGGGGGGTGCTGTGCTGGCTGGGGACAGCAGAGCTCAGGCTTTGGGTGGATTTTGTGACTGCAATTAGATTATGCAGATTTTAACAATATCTTTTCCTTGTATTGTGAGTGTAAAACACATCTAAACAATGGGTGATGCTGTCTGATGCACTGGAGTTGTCAGTGTCTACTGCAGTGACTTAAACTTCCTTGAACTACAGCAGTAGAATGGTTGATCTCTAAATCAGCAGGATATATAACCTTAGCTGAAAATTCTTAGCAGATGCAATTTACCCCTCTGTCCCTGCTCCAGGTGTACCTGTCTCTGATCCCCATCATCACTGGAGTCCTGCTGGCCACGGTCACAGAGCTGTCCTTTGACATGTGGGGACTCATCAGTGCACTTGCTGCTACTCTGTGCTTTTCACTTCAGAACATCTTCTCGAAGAAGGTACCAGCTCTGTTCACAGCACTGGTCACTGGTGTCACCCTTCAGCAGGACAGGGTGTAATCTCACATCAGTGTCATTTCTCTAGCTGGCTTTGCAGTCAGAGCCCAGAGGGATGGTTGTTATTTTGTGTGTGTGTTCCCTGCAGCTCTTCCTACCTGTTGAAGCTGTTACACTGAGTTTATCCTGAGCCCTTCCCTTACTCCTCAACATGGATTTTTTTTTTCTGATGGCAGTTCAATAGTGCTTAAATTCAACAGTTCAATGAAAGCTTTTAATGTATATTGTTATATCAAATCTCTGTGCTGAACAAGTCACTGTCAAGACTGGGCACTCCTTGAAACCACAGAAACAAAATTAAAGTGTCTAGTTTGGCTCTATTTAGTTACAGAATGGTTTCTGATTTGTAGAGCATTTAATATTAAATTAATTTTAAATTAATTATTAATTTTAATATTAATATCTTGTTGATACTAAGAGCCACCACTCAAAAAACCATTGTTTTTCAAAGAGACATCAGTTTTTCTTACTACAAGAGTATTTACCTTTAATTTTCCTAACTTACCTGTCCCCTAAAGCAGTTTCTGTTTCCTGACTGCTGTTCAATAATGGCTCTTGTCAGGTGTTGAGAGATTCCCGAATTCATCATCTTCGGTTGCTGAACATCCTCGGGTGCCACGCTGTGTTCTTCATGATCCCAACGTGGGTTCTGGTGGATCTTTCTTCCTTCTTGGTAGAGAATGACTTGGTAAGCGCTGTGTTTGGAGAACTGTTCGCTGTTACGAAAGAAAAGAGCAAAAAACCCAACAAACAAACTCCAGCACCCAAGCAGAAAAGTGCACGGAAGTGTTGCAGTGTAGTTCTGGTGTTGTGAAACACCTGCAAATTGTTTCACAGGAGTTAATATTGTTAACAAAGTGTTTATTGTGAGAATTCCCGTCAGGGTTAGGAGAGGCAGTTTCTGGGACAGCATAAATTTCAGGAGTTTGGAGCTGGAGACAGAAACAAACTCTCCCAGAGTGTGTGGAGAATGTCCTCTGGCTTCTCTGAGTTGGGAGTTGCATAAAGCAACTTGGGGGCCCCTTTAGATCTCAGTGCAGACATTCCTCCTCCAATGGCAGGTAAGTGCCTCAGGCTGTGTTTGTGTTGTTACCTGAAACCCGAGATAATTTCTTTCTCCTGCTGTTTGCTTTGCCACAGAGCTCGATGTCTCATTGGTCCTGGACCTTGATGCTGCTTATAATCAGTGGATTCTGTAATTTTGCCCAGAATGTCATTGCCTTCAGTATCCTTAACCTGATCAGCCCCCTCAGTTACTCCGTGGCCAACGCCACCAAGAGAATCATGGTGATCACCGTGTCCCTGATCATGCTGCGCAACCCCGTCACCAGCACCAACGTCCTGGGCATGATGACAGCCATCCTCGGGGTCTTCCTGTACAACAAGGTATGGCAGTTCTTTGTTCATTCATCCAGGAAACACAGCTGAAGCACTCCAGTAGCTTTCAGTTCTATTCTGTACAAGTTAAGAGCTACTTGAGCAAAAATAGACAACACAGAGGGCACAAGGCTCTGTT